TGGAACTGGAATAGTCTTGAAGGCGCGGGGCACTGAACTGTGGTGTACACTGTAACTTAGTATGTTCAATACAATGTGTATGACTGGGGTATCTATGATAAGAGTAGCAGGTAATGCTGCACCAGGTGGCATCCATCAGTTATTCTAGAGTGTGGCTTGATATATAAGCAGCCTATAATGATGGCCTATAGAGGGGGGGCTGTTTGGCCTTTGTGTTAGAACTGGGCGAGGGTGGATGATTCTGGAGGGGAACCAGAGACTTAGCAAGGAGGGACCTTGGCCTCAGTGACTCATGTGGAGCGCTGTGCCATTGCTGTTTGTCCATTTGGTCCTTAATTTCAGAGGCAGTGAGCAGGAAGTCTCTAGGGGGCATTTCAGGTCGATTCTAGACTGAAGGTCCAAAATGAGTATGTACAAGTGCCTGTATATAATAGGGAGATGATAGCACAAGGAAACCAAAGGGGGTCCGAATCGGAACAAAGGCATCTGAATGGAGACAAAGGGGATGATAGAAGCAGAGCGGTACTGAAAGTCATGGGTTAGACTCTGTGGTACATCTGAAAGGAGATAGGGAGGGCAAAGCCCAGAGGGGCAGGAGGATGAGGTGAAGTGGGGATGATGACTAACTGGCTAGAATGGAGAGAAGCAGCAGTCCAAATAAGGGTGAGGGGAAAGCGCAAAAGATACATTACAATTGGCAAAAGTACCAAGTATGATCTGTGGAGCGGAGGTTGCAGAGCTTATGGAGGTTATGGAGGCGGAGTTGAAAGTCCAAGGAATGTTGGCAATGGTGTTTACATAGTATGAGGTCACCAATGCAATGGACTTAAGCTGAGGTGGAGTCAAAGTCCGAGGTCGGAACTATGATGGGATCTCGGGGCGAAGGTACGAGCGGTGTTCGAGTACAGGGTACAGGACAGCGGCAGAAGGTCATAACTTGGCAGAGGCTTGGTGGAAGAGGGTTGGAGGGGGGAGAGTGATGGAAGGAGTGGGGAGAGGAGTGGAAGAGGAATGGTGTCGGGTCTGAGGGTGAGTATCAGAACAGATGGAGGTAGGGTAGGAGAGTGACGGAAGGGTGGAGGTGTCGTGAGGAGTAAGAAGAGGAGGGTGGCGAGAGGAGTGATGTTCGGTCCGAAGGTGAGTATTGGAGCGGATGGAGATAGGGTAGGAGAAGGATGGAAGGGTGTGTCAGGGGATGACTCCTGGGTCCCCATGACCCTCCCCTATGGTCCACAGTCTCAGGTGTGACCAGCCCTGTCCAGGGTACAACCTACTACTGTGGGTCAGAGATGAGAAGGAAGTTAACTTCTCATCTTCCCACAGTGGCCACAATAGATCGAAAACTTCTGGAGATATCCGGAAGTCACATGAGACCCGAGACCCGGGGCCTGGGGCATCCGGCCGCATGGAGCATCTGGCACAGGGCACATGTGGGAAGCACAACAGCCAGGTGTGGGCATGGGTGTGGGTGCAAGTGTGGGTGTGGATGTGGGTATGGGCTAGGTCAGGGTGTATGCCCTGACAGGGTGGAGGTGACATGAGGGCTAAGAGGAGGTGTGGTGTCAGGTCCAAAGGTGAATATCGGAATGGATGGCGGTAGGGTAGGACTCCAGAGGTGGTGAAGATGGGGGTCTGGGAGTCGGATCTGGATCGGGTATGTATGGATATGACAGGCACCGCACACATGCAGGGGGCCAATCACTGGTCGATGGCATTGACATTGCAGCAGATTTACATGAATCAAGAAATAATTGGTCAGCATTTCTTTCCACCAAATGGATGACAGACTGCTGTTACTACCCACCTTCCATGCTGCTGTCTCCTCCCTCCTCTTTTTCAATGCTTCAGCAGCCCTTTTGGCCTCCTCAGCCTCCTCCCATTCCCGTTCTTCAGCAGCCTTCACGGCTGCTCGACAACGACGATGCTCAGTCAACTTGACAACTGCCAGACAATCGTCGTCCCCCGAATCATCCTCCAGACGAGCATCTGACCAGTCCAAGACATGGCTGTAGTTTGACATGATGTTGTGGTTGCCAAGGAGGTCACGACCTGTTTTCTGGTGCATTTTAATGTGGGAGTCAAGAAAAATAGACTCGGATTTCTCTGGGTTTTAGCTGGATCTGGCCACATGTCCTTCAAGGGTTCAGTCCTAAGAAGGGGATACTGTCATATCCTGGAATCCCGACCCCATACTCTCCCACCTCACTACACCTTCCTAACAACTTCATCATCCCCTATACCATACCTCCCCACTTCCCAACATCACTTTCCATCCCAACTGTCTCAGCTCCGGCCTGGAACTCAGCACACTCGCCCTTGGCCATCCCCATCCTGGAAGCTCAGTCCCAAGTCACAACATTTGGAACCTCTGGATTTGCTCGGACCTCCCAATGGATCTCCAACATCTTGTTACATACTTCTAAACCGTTCCCCCTCCCATTTCATTTAGTGGAGTCACCCAACATCCTTCAGATATGTAACTCCGGCTTCGGAGCTAACCGCATCCTCTGGTGATCCTGCTCTCATCATCTTAAATTAGTCACCTTCCATTTGTAGTACGACTGTTGTCTTCTTCCCATTCAGTCAGCTAACTTCCCCATTTCTCATTCCCATTTATTCCCTGGCCTTCTACTCCACCCTCCTCAACCCGACACCTCAGTTCCCCATTACAGATATCGTTCGGAACCTTTCGGTACCTTTTGGTATCATTCAGCACCTCTCGGTGTTTGTCAGTATCACTTGGACTTTGACTAAAGTCCTTCTCTTCCTCCCTCTATATATACCTGTAGATTAGAACCCATTGTACCTCAGTTCTAATCTCGACTAAAAACTTACCCCAAGTCCCTCTATGAGTGAATCCTGACCCCCTCCTACAAGATACCTCAGACACATGAAATGAAAGGACTAACTGAGACATAACGGAGGCACAGCGCTCCCTCCGAGCTGCTGAGGCCGCATCCTTCTTAGAGTCTCTTGTACCACCCAGCAGACTTGGGCTTCCTGGAGAAGCTTTGGTTCACTACTGGAGCTCTCGGAACCCCTCTAGTTGAGCCCTGCCTGCATTCAGACTCATGCCCCCTTTGGGGTTTTTGACAGCTGGCCATCATGCTGTCCTTGTTTGTGACAGCACTGACAGACCACCCTCTGTTGCAGACTTATCACCACCATGCTGATTTCCACATCCCTTTGTGGACTTGGGTCAGCACTGTGCACTGACCTCCACTTTTCCTCTGGCCATTTTGTCACTTGGCAGCTTACCATTCATTCCTTTCCGAGTGCTTATCCATTCACTTAACTTGCCAATATCAGCATTTGATCTACTCTTTATTGGCACTAGGTTATTGATCTCATTCAGTTATTGTTCTTCCCATCAATAACCCTTGCCACTTATTGTTTACTGATTCATTTCTCACTTCCAGTTCCCAGGCTCTTTGTCAGAGACCAGATCCAGGATGAAGACAACATCCCCATGGTGGAGGGCTTCAGCCTCAGCAACTAAATGGAGCACTGTGCCTAGTAACACATCCATGCCCTAATTTACTGACTGGCAAGGAAACTAGAAGAGGGGGAACCTCTAGTCGATTTTATCACTGAGGTGTAACCTATCTACAAGTTATGTATATATAGTTACAAGGGAGTCAAGAAGGTGGGGCCTGTAAATGGCAAGGGCTGGGTGGAGCGGAGCTAATGGAGTTACAGGTTAGCTGACTGAATATTATTGGCCCGAAGGTAGACTTGCAGGGAAGGCAACTGAGTTGCCTGGTGGAAGTGGGGGTGCGCTTGCAGACATTGGAGCTGTCTGGAGACCTTTGGGGTTCTGTACTTAGGAAGGTGTAGGTAATATATTGAAATGAGGGGGTGGTGACCATCAGGGGAGTTGGAGGGGATTGTGGAAACTGGAGGCTCCAAGGTTAGTGAGGAAGGAGTGGAGGCAATCTGGAAGGACTGGAGGTGATGGAAGGTGATGGCTGTGGATGGATATGACACTCTTGTCCTTTATTTAGTTTGACAATCCCCACTTATTTCCACGCCAGACTGCACCTGTAAGGTTGTTATAGTTGAGTTTGTGAGTGATCTTGCGATGTCAGAAGTTGCCTCACGCTCCCAGTCCATCTGATATATGCTGTATGAAGCTATATTATCAACAGGGGAGTAAAAGGCTGGGGAAGCCTTTACCCCCTCACATGCAGGTTAAATACATCATTGTATATACATGTGACTATTGTGGCTTGGGACCGCATGGTAGAATGAAGGGTTCGGGAATAGAAGTGTCGCATCGGGTACAAACCTGATGCGATAAATAAAGAATGAATAGGGTAGGCTGCAAGTATGTGGCCTATCTCCCTTACACTCTCCTCCCTTGCGATATTAATATTGCACAGGCAGGTATAACAAGAAAGTTGTCAAGAAATCAATATAAGGTGGGGAATGGCGATTAAGCCATTCCCCTCGAAATTTTACAAGAAATATTCAAGAAAAAAATGTTTCAGAAAAACGATAGCTGTTAGGCCATCCAGTAATTGCAAGGCTGTTAGGCCTTGATGAACCTGTTGTTTGACAGGCTAAGAATTAAAGCAAAAACGAAGGTAGAAGCTGCTAGGCCTCCACAGATCCATTGTTTTGATGGGTCCAGAAAAAATTATAAGGTGGAGGCTGCTAAGCCTCCACGGATCCGTTGTTTCGACAGATCTAGAACATTAGTAAGGTAGAGGCTGCTAAGCCTCCACAGGTCTGTTGTTTCAACAGGCCAAGAAAAGAAGTTAAGGTAGAGGCTATTAAGCCTCCACGGACCCATTGTTTTGATGGATCAGAGAAGAGTAATAATGTAAAGGCCGTTGGGCCTTTACAGAACCATTGACTGACGGTCCTAGAAGAGATGATGATTGAGGCAAATAGGCCTCAGGGGTATGTTTGATGCACCAGAGCGGATGATAGAACGGGGGGGTGATTAACCCCTCCATGTTAAATGAGGCACATATACCTCGATGAAGAGAAGGTGATTAAACCTTCTTGGAGGAAGGGCCAGCAGCAGCCGATACGGCAGCATGAGAAAGGTCCGAAGGACCAGCAACAGTGTCCTCAGTTTCAGACTGAATCGCAGCAGGGAAACAATGTTCAGGAAGAGGAGCAGCCTCGTCGACTGACCCTGTAGTCACCTCGCCATCACTCTTCATATCCTTGTCCTCATTGGGGATAGGCAGTGGGGTGGGAGGTCGCACAGTGGTGGGTAGATGGCCATAGTTACCATCCATTAATTGAGATTGAGAGAGAGAAACCTGCATCTCTTGCAGAGGCACAGGTGGAGCTGGTTCAGGCACGAAGTGCCCTGACTGCGATGGAGGGGGAGGCAGCATGGGGTAATCACCCACATGCAGTTTCAAGAATTTGAAGGCAGTTGTATTGGCCACCCTACAGGCCCTTGCCTCATTGGAGGGATGATGCCTCCACAACGACAGCAGGATGTACTTCATCCCTGCCTTGTTGAGAATTTTGGGAGTCCTTTGGATGTACCCATACCTCTTGTCAAAGTCATCTGCAGAAGGATTCCTTCTGCCCTTGAATTTCAGCTCGAAGTAACGAGCATTGGGGGTGGGCAACCCAGGTTAGTTCCATGTTCTGATTATGTAAGGACAATGTATTAGTTGAGTGTCACCAAAATGTCTTGTGTACTTTCTTGCCACACACAACAAATGAAGAGAAGCTTCACTAGTAAACATCGATCAGGATGGCCTAGAATATGAATCAGACAGAGGAACTTTTGAGAAAATCAAAAATAGTTTTGTTGTGATCGAGAAAGCAAGTCCATTTTGCCCATATCTTCATTTGTAGGGACATACATGAAAATTCCTCTGTCCATTTTGTAGAAATACACTATATACACCATATACCCGATTTATGAGTTCTCAAGATGATCATGGAGAGAGAAAGTACAACCAGCGATTTTTATTATGGTTTGTTTGTACTTGCGCCCCGATGTGTCAGGGCAAACACCACCCAGCTGCTTGATCTTGGCTCATATTACTAGAATCTGACCTGTATTTGGCGCTGGTGCAAATACTGGCTTCCCCTGCTTGTACCAGCACCAAATACAGGTCAGATTCTAGTAATATGAGCCAAGATCAAGCAGCTGGGTGGTGTTTGCCCTGACGCATCGGGGCGCAAGTACAAACAAACCATAATAAAAATCGCCAGTTGTACTTTCTCTCTCCATGTGTTAGAACTGGGTGAGGGTGGACAATTCCGGAGGGGAACCGGAGACTTAGCAAGGAGGGACCTTGGCCTCAGCGACTCAAGCAGAGTGCTGTGCCATTGCTGTTTGTCCATTTGGTCCTTAATTTCAGAGGCAGCAAGCAGGAAGTCTCTAGGGGGCATTTCAGGTCGATTTTAGACTAAGGGCCTAAACGAGTATGTACAAGTGCCAGTATATAATGGAGAGGGTGAAAGCACGAGGAAATGAAGAGGGTCCGAATCGGAACAAAGGTGTCCGAACAGGAACAAAGGGAAAACAAAAGCAGAACGGTACCAAAGGTCATAGGGTAGAACCTGTGGTACATCCGAAAGGAGATAGGGAGGGCGAAACCCAGAGGGGCAGGAGGATGAGGTGAAGTGGGGATGATGACTAACTGGCTAGAATGGGAAGAAGCAGCAGTCCAAATAAGGATGAGGGGAAAGTGCGAAAGATACATTACAAGTGGCAAAAGTGCCAGGTATGGTCTGTGGAGCTTGGAGGTTATGGAGCTTACGGAGGCGGGGTTGAAAGTCCGAGGAATGTTGGCAATGGTGTTTACGTAGTATGAGGTCACCAATGCAATGGACTTAAGCTGAGGTGGAGCCAAAGTCTGAGGTCGGGACTGTGATGGGATCTCGGAGCGAAGGTATGAGCGGTGTCTGAGTACAGGGTGAGGGACAACGGTGGAAGGTCATAGCTTGGCGGAGGTTCGGTGGAAGAGGGTTAGAGGGAAGAGAGAGAAGAGAGGAGCAGGGTGAGGAGTGGGGGAGAGGAAAGGTGTCAGATCCGAAGGTGAGTATCGGAGCGGACGGGAGAAGGGTAGGAGAGTGACAGAAGGGTGGAGGTGTTGTGAGGAGTAAGAGGAGGAGGTGTCATATCCGTGCATACCCGACCCCTACCCGACTTCTGGACCTCCACCCTCTTCACCTCCGGAGTCATACCCTACCGCTGCCATTCCGATACTCACCTCCAGTCCTGGCAACACACCTCCTCTCACCCCCCCACGCCACCTCTGCTCCTCCTTCCCTCTCCTCCCCTATCCCCCGTCCGCTCCGATACTCACCTCGGACCGAACACTGCCCCTCTCGCCACCCTCCTACTACACCTCCACCCTCCCGTCACCCTCCTATGCTTCCCCTGTCCACTCCGATACTCACCTTCGGACCTGACAACTCTCCTTTCCGCCACTCCTCCCTTACCTTTCCCCTCTCTCCTCCCTCTGGTACTCCTCTGCCACCCTCCCGCCAAGTTACGACCTTCCACCGCTGTCCCATACTTCGTACTCGGACACCTCTCGTACCTTTGCTCCGAGCCTCCATCATAGTCCCTACCTCGGACTTTGACTCCACCTCGGTCTTAGTCCATTGCATTGGTGACTTCATACTACGTAAACACCATTGCCAATATCCCTCGGACTTTCAACCCCACCTCCGTAACCTCCATAAGCTCCGCAAGCCCCAAGCTTCGCAGATCGCCTTCGGCACTTTCGCCGCTTGTAATGTATCTCTCGCCTTTACCCCCCATCCCTATTTGGACTACTGCTTCTTCCCATTCTAGCCAGTTAGTCATCATCCCCACTTCTCCTCATCCTCCTGCCCCTCTGGGCCTTGCCCTCCCTACCTCCTTTCGGACGTATCACAGGTCCTGCCTTATGACCTTCGGTACCGCTCCGCTTCTTCTACCCTTTGTTCCCGTTCAGACATCTTTGTTCCGATTCGGTACCCTTTGTTTTCCTTGTGCTTTTGCCCCCTCCATTATATATATCGGCACTTGTACATACTCGTTTTGGTTCAGTCCGAAATCGACCTGAAATGCCCCCTAGAGACTTCCTGCTCACCTACTGTGAAATTAAGGACCAAATGGACAAACAGCAATGGCACAGCGCTCTGCTTGAGTCGCTGAGGCCAAGGTCCCTCCATGCTAAGTCTCCGATTCCACTCCGGAGTTGTCTGTTTCCGCCCGGTTCTAACAGGAGGGTGGCAAGAAGAGTGATGTTCGGTCCAAGGTGAGTATCGGAGCGGACGGAGATAGGGTAGGACTCTGGAGGTGGTGAAGATGGGGGTCCGGGAGTCGAATCGGGGTTGGGTATGTATGGATATGACACCATGATCATCTTGAGAACTCATAAATCGGGTATATGGTGTATATAGTGTATTTCTACAAAACGGACAGAGGAATTTTCATGTATGTCCCTACAAATGAAGATATGGGAAAAATGGACTTGCTTTCTCAATCACAACAAAGCTATTTTTGATTTTCTCAAAAATTCCTCTGTCCGATTTATATTTATTTTAGGTCATTCCGATCGATGTTTACTAGTGAAGCTTCTCTTCATTTGTTGTGTGTGGCAAGAAAGTACACGAGACATTTTGGTGATGCTCGACTAATACATTGTCCTTACATAATCAGAACACAGAACTAACCTGGGTTGCCCACCCCCACGAGCATGAAGGTTGTGAACATCGCCTGGGGCGTCATCAATAACCCCAGCTGCCCCAACCTGCTGGTCAATCCACTTGAGGTCAACCAAGAATTTGAACCCATTCACTGTATTCAGGAATGGGAGTACAAAGTTGTCCCATTGCCATTGACAATGGCCTATTTCGGTGGTGATGAGCCATCTCTGGCCACTAACAGTAACTCCATGTACGAAGTCATTGGCATGGAAGGAACCCGGGATGGGTATGTTTCTCCATGTCCCAGGAGAAGGAGAGCAATTCTGGCTAGGTAGCCGGAACCATGAATATTCAAGTGGTAGGAGGGGGTGATGTGGTGCCTGCTCTTTTCCCGACTCAGGATTGGATGTATTGGATTGGACCCTACTGTTGAAATATCTTGTTTCTTGGCTTGTTCTATGCTGTGGACTACTCAACTATGTCCCACGGACTATAGATCTTGCGCATGGGCATTTCCATGAAGGATTACCTGATGCTTCTACTTTTGGGACCCATGTTGATGGATGCAGTTGAGGATGGCTTAAAAGCCACCTTGCACAATTTTTTCTTTCTCTCTCCTCAGTTCACAACTTTGGAACTGAGCACTAATTCACAACTAGTTCATAATTCCAATAGGCCCACTGCTGGGTCAGCAACGGATACTTGAGGATGGGCCGGTTTGACTGGTCCAGGGTGTGGACGAGGGTTGTCATCTACATGATGTGCCCTCTCAACAGGGGCATTTTGGGTACACGTTTCTGTGTGAGGGATTTTTGAGGGTGCAATGCCTCATCTTCCTCGCAACCTTTTTCATAGGCCTCGAGGTCCCTTTCCAGCGAGTTGCACTTTCATCGGAGGACATCCCAGTGTAACGAGACCTCCCGCAACTTGCTGGTGAGATGCTGGTTCTTAAGCTTGATGTTAAAGAGTTCCTCATGGAGCCCTATGTTTTCTTCTTGGATACGTCGAGTCCCTTCTCGAGACTGCGACAGTTCGTCATCAAGACATCGAACATGGGTGTTTTCATCTGTAAGGAGTTCAGTCAGGAAAGACCCTGACATTGTAGCATGTGGCTGGTGAGCCGCTTCAGGAGTGGGTGCTCCATGAGGGAAGGAAGGGTGGTAACCCCAGAGATTGGGGTTAAGGTATGGCAACAGTGGTGCTTGTCCTGGTGCCATCGAGTCCACGAAAAAATGCGGGCCCATTGTCTGCTGGTCGGACACAGTGTAAGCTGCAGTAGCTTGCACATCCCTCACAGGGGAAGGACACCCTGATACTGTTGGTATCAGGGTGGGATCAGGGACATTGGAGACACTGGGGGCCTCAGCACCCGGCGTTGAAGTATGTTGAACATTGCCTAAAGCGGGACCCATGGTCTCAGTGTCCATGGGGGTGGTGTTCAATTGTGGGCTTTGCCCACAGTCATCGTCGGGCAGCGTTTCTCTCCCAAAGTTATCTCGCACTTGCTCAGACATGATGGGGGAAAAGAAGTTTTGTCTGTCATATCCATACATACCCGATCCCAATCCGACTCCCAGACCCTCATCTTCATCACCTCCAGAGTCCTACCCTATCTCCATCCGCTCCAACATCTACCTTCAGACCGAACATCACACCTCACTCCACACTCCACCTCTCACTCCCTGTCCATCCCTCTCCTACCCTACCTCTGTCCGCTCCGATATTCACCTTCAGACCTGACCTCATTGCTCCTCTTACCTCCCCTTCTCGTTCCTCCCCTCACTCCTCTCCTTCCATCACTCTTCTGTCAAACCTCCACCAAGTTATGACCTTCCACCGCAGTCCCATACCTTGTACTTGGACACCATCTGTACCTTCGCTCCGAGATTCCATCATAGTTCTGACCTCGGACTTTGACTCCACCTTGGCTTAAGTCCATTGCATTGGTGACCTCATTCTTGTCAGGGCTCGGTCCTCGATCAGGGACAGCCCGACCTCAGGCCTGGGTGTGCGCAGTGTTCCGGGTGGTTGGGCGCTAGACCCTGTCCTCAGCTCCTCGAACTCACTGAAGAGACTAAGTGGGGATTGAGTTGTCATGTATTACAGACAGTAACTACAACTTGCCTAAGCGGGGATTGAGTTAGAAGAAGGGTAAGTTTCCCTATTCCCCGCTTGGCTACTATAAAAGGGAAGTGTACTGTACAGTTCCTAACGTGACTCCAGGTAGAAGCC